GCGGGCGCACTCACGCGGCAGCTGTAGGCGTGGTCCCGCACGTGCGCCGCGTGCCGCGAGCGCGGGTGCCGCAGGTGGCCCTTCTCACAGACCAGGAGGTGCCGCGGGACCTGGTGGAGCCGCCGCAGCGGCGGCACCGGCATCGACATCCTCCTTCTCCTTCTCCGCCGCTGCCACCGGGAAGGGGGACGGGGACGTTGGGGGGGGGCCCCAGTCACGCCACCCGCAGCGGTGCGGAGGGGCCAGAGGGAAAGGAGGAGGGGCGAGGACGAAGTTGCGCGATGAGGTCACTTCCGCCCAGCGCGGCGGGATGGAGGCGCGCGCATGCCCCGACCTGGCGGGGGGGGGGGGGGGGGCCATTGCAGGGGGAGCCCCTTCCCTAGAGACCCCATACATCTGGGCGCTCTGAGCCTTTGGTGTTCACAGCTTCAGGAGGAGCCCCCACACGGGTTCTGTGGCGCAGGAGCAGCAGTTCATAGAATCACGTAGAATGATATGGGGTTGGAAGGGACCTCTGGAGATCATCTAATCCAACCCCCCTGCCAAAGCAAGTCCACCCAGAGCAGGTTGCTAGGAATGTGTCCGGGCGGGTTTTGAATGTCTCCAGAGAAGGAGACTCCACCACCTCTCTGGGCAGCCTGTTCTAGTGCTCTGCAACTCTCACAGTAAAGAAGTTCCACCTACACTCTCACGTGTAGGTGGAACTTCTTATTCTCAAGTTTGTGCCCATTTCATCTTGTCCTGTCCCTGGGCACCGCTGAAAAAAGCCCAGCCCTGTCCTCCTGACACCCATCCTTTATTTATAAGCATTGATTAGATCCCCCCTAAGTCTTCTCAAGACTAAAAAACCCAAGTCCCTCAGCCTTACCTCATTGGAGAGGTGCTCCAGGCCCCCAATCATCTTTGTGGCCTTTTGCTGTACCCTCTCCAGCAGTTGCCTGTCCTTCTTGAACTGGGGGGCCCAGAACTGGACACAGTGCTCCAGATGGGGTCTTACCTCCCTCAACCTGCTGGCAAGTTTGTGGCACACTCAGTTCGTGGCAGTTGCTGCACGTGCGTGCTTCACGAGTCCCTCTGCGTGCAGGAGCCCAGCCCCATGCGTGGGTGTTGAGGAGGAGCATCACTGGCCCCCAGGGTGTGTTTCCTGCCAGGGGATGGTTTTAGGAGACACAGATGCTTGGAGGGTTAAAACAGACAGGTAGAAGTGACAGGAGATGAGGAAACGGGCACAAACTTGAACATAAGAAGCTCCACCTAAACCTGAAGAGGAGCTTCTTCACGTTGAGGGTGCCCAGGAACAGGCTGGCCAAGAGAGAGATGGTGGAGTCTCCGTCTCCGTGTGGACACGTTCCTGTGCAACCTGCTCTAGGAGGACCTGCTTAGGCAGGGGGGGTGGATTAGGTGATCTCCAGAGGTCCCTTCCAACCCCGTATCATTCTGTGATTCTGTGGTGTGTCCTGAAGAGGAGCTTCTTCACGTTGAGGGTGCCCAGGAACAGGCTGGCCAAGAGAGAGATGGTGGAGTCTCCGTCTCCGTGTGGACACGTTCCTGTGCAACCTGCTCTAGGAGGACCTGCTTAGGCAGGGGGGGTGGATTAGGTGATCTCCAGAGGTCCCTTCCAACCCCGTATCATTCTGTGATTCTGTGGTGTGTCCTCGGGAGGCTGATGGCACTGGGCAGCCTCCAAGACGTCAAGCAACCAGCTTCCTTCTACCTTACAGAAACTATGAGAAATACATAAAGTCCAGGAGCTGCAGGGGTGTGTGCAGCCTGTGCCACAGGCCACTACCGAAATACGATCCAATTTCATCAGGACCCCAGAGAGAGATACTGGGAATGTGGATTCCTGCTGAAAGTTCCTGGTCTGTTAGATCTCTGAGCGTATTTGTAGTAATAGCTGCAGTTTTAAAAGATTGTGAAGAAGATCTTGTGTCCACTGTCACTCCAAACAGGACTGCTTGGGTTAGCAAGCACAGCACGCAAGGGCTATGGGATTGGGCTCTGCTTCCGTTGTCCTCTCACTGCTCATTTTGTACGTCGTGTACTTTATATAAAGCATATACAGAAATGTCCTCTCTCTGCCTTCCTGTAGTATTTATCTTCTTGGCCCCCTAGCTCCGTGGCTCCCAATTTATTTTAAAATGGCACCACACAACTTTCTCGTTATTTGCTATTTCTGTACACTACACAAGGCGGTATGTAACCTTGCTTAAAACACCACTCATGTCTGTTCACCACACATATATATATCAAGCTGGCAAACCTGACGCTCGGTTTTGAGGCCAGTTTGATGATAGTAGTTGAAGAGATCTCAAGCTTGCCCTAGGAGATTTTGACCTGCTATTTCTAGATGTGACATTCAATAATATTAATGCTCTGGGGTACGTGAGTTTGGTTATTCCTCTCCCTGAGGTGGTCGGATACCAAGAGGAAAAGTTTGTTCAGTATAGACTAGTACCATAAGTTTGTTTAGTATAGAAAAGTATAGGTTATGGTAAGGCCATTTGTTCAACAGCTGCAGTGCTTTTAAATAATCAACTCTAACAATAATAAACCATCAATTTCCTATGATTTTACATGTTCACCAGCTACATAGCTTTGTGGCTGGATATCATAACTCCAGCACTTTTGTCCAGTTATTGGCTGTTTGGCTGAGGCAAATAGGTAGTGCTTAGGTTTTCTAGATCTGTCTTTCCAGCCTGGTGAATTTACGTTATGGCTCCAGCTTCAGCAGTCAATACGCCCAGGCCCCGCTTCGAGCATAGACTGCACTTTTCTAGTGCTCTATCTATGTTTGGGGCTGCCTGATGTTGCTGACTTAATAGCTATAAATAGCTAGCGGTGTAAAAAGTCTGGTTCTTGCAAGCCCTGTGTTACAGAACCGTGCTTACCCGACAGAAGGAGGGATGCTATCGAGGAGTTACTAGTTCAGCCCGTCTGGCTTGTTAGGCAGATTCAGACCCTCTTGTTTCAGGGCACGTACTTTCCGAGTGCGTGTTTACTGAAGTGACATCAAGACGCTGCTGCTCTGAACTCAGTGGCTTGTATCCTCCAACGCATGAGACTGAGATGAAGCTACATGTTAGGAGGTCACTGGCACATTAACCTTTGTGGAGGAGGGCTGAATTCTGCACTTACATTGCCTGCATAAATTGAATTAATTGGATTATTATGAATAATAATAATAATAAAAAAAGCTATGTAATTACAGTAGCCTTCTAATTTAAAGCATTCAAACATTAATGGGAAGAGCACCGCGTGATTAATGTCAGTTATTACCATACCCGCAAGCAGAAGCCTCTGTGCGCAGACAAGCGTCACACTGCGATGATCAGAAAGCCTGTTGTACTAAAGGGGTGAAAAGTTCAAGCCTCTGATCAATAAGCCCACAGATCCAGAGAGAAAATTCAGCTATATTCAAAGCAGACTGTGGAGTTGGGTTTTTTTTGTGGTTTGGGGTTTTTTTTTTGTGAGCTTCTCTATACTAATACAATTTATGCTTTCTACTAGGGATACAAATGGATAGGAAAAGAAATGAGGGGAAAATACATTGGGGAAGGGTCAAGAGAGTCACGATTCACGATTGCATATTCAGAGTTAAGTCAGCATTTTAGGGATTTTGGCAGCAGCGTAGTTCACTGCAGCTCAGTGGAGCATTGAAGGATTCACATCACTGCTCAGTTAGTTTGGTTCATATGTCAGGCAATTCATTTTAACCCACCCTTACTCATATACATTGACTGTCTATTATAGAGTATGCTTATTATGTTTTAGAGAACTCCCTGAAGATACTGAATTAATTTAAAAAAAAAACATTAGCAGTCCAGTAGTCTGTGCTGTAACATACAGAATTTCCCTATCTTTAAATGGGCTATATATATATGTACAATAATTGTTGGTAAATGCTGACATTTTTATCGTGGTTGTTACAGTTTTGTGAGTAATTTGGTTTCTGTATATTGTTAAAAAAAAAAAAAAAGACATTTTAAACTTTAAACAATTTAAGCAATACAGCCCCTGTACATCTGTTACAGTTTTCCCAAGGATTTCAAATCCGTGACAGGGTAATGCAGTTTTACAGCAATTCATGCTTGAAGAGAGTTATGGGCTGTAGTCAAGAGGAAAGAAATGCCTTGAGGCAACCTGTGGTAATAGCCTGGAGTAGGGAAGGATCTCTGAAATATTTCCTGGGAGTGGTGAAATTTGATTCTCTTTTTGTATAAAATAAGTGGCTTTGGAAAGAAAAGTCTGATCTTCACATTTTCTACAGTATCTCTAGTTGCGAAGCCCAGCTGCTTCTTTCATGTATTTTTTTCACTATTGAAGAGCAATCTTAAATCATCCTTTCTGCTGGATTTTCTGATTTTAAAAAGAACATTATTAAAATATCTAGAGTTTCATAAAATCAAATCTAAACAAGTATCTGTCACAGATATTTTGAAATTAGTTTGTGTTTTTACAATGAATCAAAATATTTTTCTTTTCAGTCAATATTTTTTTCTTAAGTGTTGACTGCAGAAGAGAAGGAAGTCTAAATCTTTTAACCTTGGTTGTTGTAATAAGTACTTTGCAAAACAGAAACAAACAGATACCTCTGGTGCCTTGTTCATTTGAAGTTAATAAAGTGTGTAAGACTCTGAAAACCAGCAATTTCCTTGATCAGTGTCAACTTTTTTCTTCACTGAGGAAAGTGGAAAGATGTTGAAGATGTAGATTGTTAGCTTTACATACTGTTTTTACCCACTTTGGTCCAAATATTCAGAGCAGTGATGGATTGTGAAAAAGATCCCACTCAGACTTGTTTTTCTAGAAGATTACAAACAAAGGTTCTGCCAAGCTACTCCCCAAAGCAGCTGTTCGAGCCAGGAAGAATAGTAAATGCTAACCACGGACTGAGTTGCTGGATTTGGTTTAAATGCAATTAAAAAAAAAACAAAACAAACCAACCACCTGATCTGTTTCTTTTAGAGTTAACCCCTCTGCAATCTGGGAAACCTCACACTCACTGTTGTGATACTACAGTGGGAGAAGAATTGAGAGGGATAATTCATCTGACAAGGTTCTGGGGAGCAGGAGTGTATGTCATTGGTATTGAAGCAGAGTCTTCACCTCCACTTGCCTCCTAAGGATCAGATTTAGGCGGGGCCCTACATGGTGATGGGAATTTTCATGCACTTTCTCTCTCCCTCTAAACAGACCAATTGTCATTCACATTATGACTAATAGGAGGCACATGCATTCTTACGAG